TCAGTCAACATTAATCAAAAGTTACCAAAATTCTAAATTAATTATGAAAGTCTAAGTCAGATCATGGTTTCTCTAAGAGGTTGAAATTTTTACAGCTGGAGCCTGTAAATATTCAGAAGTAGCTCAGATAACACCCACAGCAATAAGCTGTGGAGTATGTTTTTAAAAACTTTCCCCAGTTCTTTGAACAGAAGGCTGAGAGTGGGTCCTGCAAGTGCAGCTTTGTTCTTTCACAGTTGTCTAACATCACTCATTGGTGTTAAGCAGACTTGTAAAACACTGCTAGTATCTTTTTTTGTCTTGCCTTTTAAAGGTATCTGTTCTCCTACAAAGGTTCTCAGGTTCCAAAATCAATCATGGGTAGTTTTTTAAAATCTATAATACTTTGTAGGCTATTCATACAGTAAGTTTGTACCACTGACTTCTGTGAGGCTATTTGTGTGCTAAGACTGATATCTATATGGCTCTTTTTCATATTCAAAATTATTGTTAATGACACACCACTGTCTTGCTGATGTTGAGAGAATGATTCTGGTAAGAGGGTTTATTATTTCCCTTACCATCAACTATAGCCTTTAAATCTAGAAGAAACTCAAAAGGATTATATTAAGAACAGCTTATATTAATGTCAAGTATAAGAACTTGTGTTCTTAGCAATCTCTAATTCTTTTTAAAAAGATTGAAGTTTGCAATTTTATTTTTTCAGTTAGAAGTGTTTCATCTTTTATAAGATTCTTCGTGCAAATTAAATGTGGTTTTCTTCTAAAAGGGGTGCCTGCTGCTTCGCTGGTAACCCCTGCTGATGTCATCAAGACAAGACTGCAAGTGGCAGCTCGTGCCGGTCAGACAACATACACTGGAGTTATTGACTGTTTCGGAAAGATTCTTCGGGAGGAAGGCCCTTCTGCCTTTTGGAAGGGAGCTGCAGGTGAGAAACGCGCTCGAAATACGAATTAATGCTTGCTTTGCTAAAGACGCAAATTAAAGGAATATCTATAAGGTCTGGTTCTGAAAACTTAATATTTTGTTTTAATGTTTAGTTTTGCCTGAGAAACTCTCTTGTGTTTGTGACATGACTTGTCATATTTAACAGCTCGTGTGTTCAGATCTTCACCCCAATTCGGTGTTACTTTGGTCACCTACGAACTTCTGCAGAGATGGTTTTATGTTGATTTTGGAGGACTGTAAGTCAAATATTTGATCTTTACCTTGCATGCAAATCTTTCATGTACAAGAATTTTGTTTTTATCATGCATGGGCCATTTAAATGCGGTGGCCCCGAGCAGTGGTACTTAAAATGATATTATACCATGTAAAAAAACATTCCCCCCATCACTAATAACAGAAAACTTACTTGTATACTCCCTCTTTATCAGTAAGAACTAAGTGGTTTTTATTTTTGAATAAACAACATAACATTTGAGTTTTCAGGGTTGCAGGGTCTATTGTGCTTCTCATCTGTTTTACTGGAGTCTAGGGAAAAAATGAGTTTAGGGTACTTTAAAATAATCTACAGACCTATCCGTAAAAGTGTAATTTCTGCTTAGGCCTCCATTTCCAGGTAAGTAGCACACGCTTTTAACCAACCTTACTTGATGACAGGAATGACTTACAGTTGGTTTTAATGATCTTGCATACTCAGTCCAAAGCTTTAAGCAAGCAACCTACTTTGGATTTTGTAATGTTATTTAGGCTTAAAAATACTTTAAATAAAAGAAAGGTGTTTGCTCTTATTTCTTCGAACAGGAAACCTTCTGGATCAGAACCTCCCCCAAAAACTCGCATTTCAGATCTTCCTCCTGTTAACCCTGAGCACATAGGTGGATACAGACTTGCTACAGCTACCTTTGCTGGTATAGAAAATAAATTTGGTTTGTATCTTCCAAAATTCCGGCCTACTGTTGTGTCAGCTCAACCAAAAACTAGCACCTGAAGCCTGAAGAGAAGATTGCGTTTAACAAAGCGATGCAGTGGAAGAGTCACAAGTGTAGGACGGTGGTTGTGCAGGCAGCTGTGTGGTGATGGAGCTGACCTGAGCTTGCAAATCAAGTTACTCCTTTCCAATACTAGTGCAGAGACGTACATTTATTTGTTTATAAACTAGACATTTACACAGAAGAAACTGCTGCTTTGGTTCCATACCTTGTTTGAAACCAGTGGCACCTGTTGCCTAGACTTTGCCTTGCAGAGCCTGCTTTTAATGTAACTGTACATAGTGTACATCTCTGTACAGAGACATCACAGCATCTATCTCCATACATTTATATAAGGGGTGTTGCAGTTCTAAATAGTTTAAAATGTACAGAATGTTTTGAAGGCATTTGGTTAAGAACCACGACAATAAAATATTTAAAAACATTTAAGTCAATTCACTTTTTTGTATTTATAGAAAAGTTGTCCAACATGATTTTTTTTCTCCCCACAGATTAAGGATCATAGATTAAATGTTAAAATTAGATCCAGTCCTCTAAGGTATGTATCATATAGTATGTAGCCTTTGAAGGAATTCATTCCCCTCTTAGCTACTTACAGCAAAGGTATATAAATTAAAATCAGGAAGACTTGTGAATAGCAGATGGAACCTAGGTGAACAAGAGTGGACAAGCCTTGCTAGTGCTGGAGATCTGCCTGGAGATGCATCTGATCTCCTGCCTGACCAAGGAAAAGATCCTGCCTCTCTAACTGTGGTAAAATGACCTCTAATAGGATAATACTTCTAGCTGGTTCTGGTCTTGAGACAGAGGAGAACTAAGTGATGAGGAAACTAATACACAGGGATCCATGTAAGGAAAATAAGGAATTACAAAAATATAATTCCAACACAAATTCCAGTTGAGTTGTATAAGCTAGTGCTAAGTAGAGAGGGAAGAGAAAGGCTTATTTAAGTTTTGGCAGACATTTTCTCTGTTTATTTGGTGTAGTTATTCAAGCCAGTAGGCCAGGGGAAAGAGACATCTCCATTTCTAGTCGTCTAGCAAGAGGAAGTCAGAATAGCTGTGCAGCCAGAAAGGGGAGGGGGCTTCCAGCCTTGCTTACTGAAGTGAGAGAAGCCTTCCGTTCAGGATTACACACGGTGGACCTCAATGAACCTCAGCAGTGTAAAGAGTTTTGCAGCTGTTTTCTGCTCAGGACAGCAAGTCAACATGATGTTCCAGGTAGTTAAAAACAAAAAACAAAAACAAAAACAAACAAACAAACAAAAAAAAAAAACAGGGTTTTGAAATAGTGACCAAGACAAATGCAATGCAGGCTTTCTCCAGCTCTGCCCTCAGGCACCATGAAGAACTTTTTGCTGCTGCACAGTAGTTAACGATCTGGAGATGACGGTACAGTAAACTCAGGCCTTCGCTCACAACTCTGGTACATGCACCTAACTCCATTAAAAGGCTTCCTGTCCTTATTCCTTTCTGTTGAAAGAATTACCTGTTTTACCCGCTTTGCCTAGATCCAGGCTTCCCAGGAACAATCACTCCCAGAGCTGCTTACTGGGTCTGCTCTCTTCTAAAGAAATACTGAAATGCCACTGAGTATCCACTGGCCTTTAATCCTAGTCAGCTGTGACAGACTTGGTCAAGGCTTTAGGACCTTTTACAAAGGGAGACAATATTTCTATTTCTTACTGCTCCAGAGTGGCCATTTGATTGCGTGGCTCCTGGGATGGTCATTTACCTTATCCAGCATCCCTACTGGTCTCTCTTTAAATTTGTAGATAAAATTTTCACATTTTAACCTGTGCCTACGTACCTGCAAGGAAGGAGGACAAGGGAGAATTAAAAGAGTTTTCATGAAGTTTACAAAAGGCTAAAACAGCTTAAGCCTCATCTTGGATATGATCTATGAGTTTATTTCCAGCAAAAGGTCTTACCAACTGATTTCTGAAAATATAAGTCTAAAGGGTATTATGAAATAACCAAAAAATCCCAGCAAGATAACAGAACATTCTGTTCATTAAGGATTCCTGTGCCTAAAGGGTAGAATCAGCACATGATCTGCCTCTTCTGTATATAGCTCACATGTTTTCCAACATTCCAGCTGCTGGCGTAAGGTTGAGGAAATCATACAAGCAAATGTCAAACTGAACAGCACGACTTGGGATTGAAAAAATAGAGGAGGGACTTTTGATAAGGCAACACTGATGGAAACCTGAAGACCTTTCCCTTCCAAACCCACTGAAAAAGAGAACCTCTTGAAGACAGGAATGCTATTACTGCAGCCGCTGTCCAGACGGATGACTTGTAACAGAGACAAAAAAAAAAAGGGAAAAAAAACCAGAAAAAACATTTCTAGCCATGGTGACAATTAAGCAGCAATATAAACCTGTTTCTTACATTTACGCATATAAAATATCACTTCTGGCAAAATGTAGCAGGTAAGAGAGACTGTGGTACTTTTGGTCCACAGTCTTAAGTTGTCAGTCTGCAGGACTAGTACTATGTAATCAGAACAAGTGAGAATATTTAAAATAGTAAGAAAGGTTCTTTAGATGAGCCTGACTTCAGTGTTTTTTGTTTTGTTTCCAAGTTTGATGGAAAGTTTCTTAAGTCTTAAAAATTCAACCTGTACCAGAAATTTCAGCCCTTTTGTTTCCAACTACTGAAAAGATGATTTCAAAAACAAATAAGCAAACACCCAAATGACCCAACCAAAACAAACACAGTAACAAGGCTGTAGTTTACAAAAAAGCAATTAATTAATAATCAAACAATCAATTTAAGTCAAAAATCTATCTCTTAGGCTCAGAAAAAGCAAAATCTGACCACAGCCTTCTTCCTTTAAACTGATTGCTATGGTAGGAAGGAGGCTGGAAATCAACCCCATGATTTGTTTGTAAAAATGAAAGAAGCAGCACCAGCAACTTTCTACCCTGAAACGACTGAAGTGAGACAGAGCAGGGTCAGGACAGCTCACAGGTGCTTATATAACATTTATTTATAAATCAAGTCTTACCTTTTAATGCACCGATTCAAAAAGAAAAAAAAATACTTAGTATTAAATATTAATTTCATTAATTCAGGTCCAATTATCAGTAAGTTTGTAACTACAGACAAGTTTTTATTCACATGTATTACCCACTACCAGAGCCTGAGGCTTATCTATATATAAACAGTGAAACTTCGAAGATAGGCATGCATTTCCATAAGTGGTTTGAATAATTCAATTTATAGGACCTTTCAGAGATTAACTACCAGGGTTAGTCAATGTAATACGGAAAGTTTGGTTTAGAAACATTGTCTACTTTTCAGAAATAGATAAATTGTTATAAACTGGGAGTTTCAGAAGTCTAACAGCAAATTTACACCAGGTTAGTGTTTCAGCAAAATAATTTCCTTGCAAAGTCTAAGTCAGCTGTATTAAAAGTTACATAAATCCAAGAATGTGCTTGTAATTTACATATAAAAAGTGACAATGCAAGATTTGACTTTCAGTGATCTTAACACATTATCAAAGTCCACACTTTAATCCGTATATTCTTCCCTCAGCTATTATTTAAACTGACAGATGCTTTTATACTTTGAAGACTTGCATTAAATCGTTCTCAAATCTGCCCCTGCCACCTGTGTTGGCCACCTACGCAGGTATGCGGGTTGCGGCTTCCTCTTCAGCATCAGCTCTGTTGGCATTTATTTCTGCCAGTGTTCGACCAAATCGAGTCCACTCATCACTGCGAGGAACGGCAATTTGCTGTTGGCAAAGATAATGTTACTTGTACCTATTGATAAATACAAACTCAGCACATTTTTAGCAGCAAATTCACAGGTAATGCTCAGAAGAGGCACTCCTAAAAGTAGAGCTTTATTTAATATACCTTCTAAAGTAGCCTAAAGGTCAAAAGTGCCAACTAATAGAATGGGAGAGTCCTGTATCAAAGCATGGATACAAGCACTATCATGAGTTCATTGGTACACTTGTAGATTCGAGAGATGGGCTCCATCTGGTAAGGAAATAGCAGTGAAATGTCCCCAGTATTTTTAATGATGGCACCAGCTTCCCAGCGGGAACTAGGCCAAGACGGCTTCAGTTCAAAAATGTTTTGTTTGACATTTCTCATACTATGGTTACAATTCACAGTTACAAAGAGGACAAAAAAAAATCTCTTTGATTGTTTCACCTTATTTTACCAGCCTTAATTTTTATTTATTTATTTATTTTTTAAAACACATGGACTACATGGCTGCCATGTTGTCAGCATGACTGCCAAAAAGTTAGGCTAAAATACTTGAAACAAAAAGGAAAGATTAATATGAATTTAGAATTAATCCTTGAAGAAAACTATAGCTTTATTCCTTAGAGGGAAAAAAGAACAGTTAAAAATAAGTTGCAAGTGAAGAGTAAAAGGCAAACTGGAATGTTCTGTAATGTACTTTGCATGTTATATGGTATACATACCTCTCCCACATCATATATAACTATCTGTCCCTCCGAATCACCGACAGCGATCTCTCTCCCCGAATGGGTCCATCTCACACGGTTCAAGGCAGGATTGCCCTCCACAGAAATGCTTGCGGTTGGCACCTGCAAGCATTTAAAACACATTTCCATTTAAAACACATGGCTAAGCCCGTGGGAGGGTTTCCTGGCTCTTGATAGCAAAGCGCGCCCAGTCCCCGAGCTTGGTACAAGGGCAAGTGCCCCGCGCTCAAGCTCAGGCTGGGTAAGCAGATCCTACAAGGCTCCGAGCAGCCAAGAGCCGCCGGCAGCGCCAGGGCTGGGCTGCGGGACGGAGGACTTCTGCCTCCTGGCAGGGCTGCGGGGAGGAGGCGCCGCGAAGCTTCAGCGTGTGGTGGCCACGCGTCAGGGAGACGCAGGAGCAGCAGCCCTGCGGTCACCGAGGAAGATGGTGACAGGCCAGGGATAAGTCAGCTCTTCTTTGTGTTTTATTACTTATTTTTACTTTTTTGTTTTAAAAAAGAAGTTGGGACTTTATACTATGAGCAAATTTATACCTACACTAACTTTTAAAAGTTTAAAGTACATTACAGTTTTGCCAAAGTACTCATAAGCCAAACAAGAACAGTGGCACACAGCAAACAACATTGCTCCCAATGTTAAGCTGTAGAGTGCCAAGGCCAAACTGGCAGAGATCTGAAAGCACTTGCACATTGTGGATCAGTGTTTCACTGACAGGGATTTTGTGCTCCTACAGGTACGGCAATAATTTAATTGACGTTCATTATGAGAACCGATTTGAATTACTAATCACAGAGTAATATATATTATTCTACTGGAATAACCACCTACTGGAGCTACAGAATATTAAAGACAACCAAACCTACAAACAATTCCTCCTCCTTGCAAAAAACTCCACCTAAACGCTCTGGTAAAACCTCAGTGCCTTCCTCAAACTGCATGAAGCTCATCCCCAGCCGCATGCCGCATGCCGCCGACCGGCCTCTGCCTCGGCCTCACCTCCGTGTCGTTGTTGAGGTTCCACAGGTCGAGCCTGCCCATCCCGTCCACGCATGCAAACAAGGCCGGGTGAGTTGGAGACCACATCACATCATAAACATAGTCTGAGTTGTCTTCAAACGAGTAGAGAGGCTTATTATTCTGTGAAAAAACACAGTATTCTGCACTGCAAATTCTAGAACTAACAAGCAAGACAAAACACAGAGGTGTTAGCTGTGTTAGCTAAAGCTGATACACATTTTGACTTTTTACCTCTGAAAAAAGTGGCCAAAATTAACTAATTATCAGACATAACTTCCTAAGCATGTAGCCTTTTTGTTGCCTGCCATCAGGAAGCCAATACCATCACAAGAGACTATAAACTTAATGCATTTGAAGTGCCAGGAATCAAGCCAGTGCGGAGTGAGTGACGGCCCACATGGTTACCGGCAGACTAACTCCGCTCCCTCCGCTCTGCATTCCTCGGCACGGCCCAGTGACAGCAAAAGTGGCAGCGCTGGCAATGCCAACAATACGTATTTCTATAGCAGGCCCCTACGTGGAGCTTGATTGACATGAGTTTTGGTGCCTATCCACTGGTCCTCCGCAAAATTATAGCAAAACATTTGCTTTATGCAGACTATGAGGTAACTGGCCCTGCAGAATAGCATTTGAAGATTTTACTGATTTTAGAACATGATTTGGCCTTGCTCACACGAATAGCTGAAAACGGGTTGTAAGAATGAACAGAATGGATCAGAAACCCACACATGATGCATAAACAGAAAGCGTCTGAACATGGTTTGCTACAGTTTTGTGCCTCATCTGTCTCTTCCTTGGAGCAGACCAGAACAAACACTGTGGGTGAACGAGGCTGGTGCAAGGCCCTGGAGAACAGTGACTGCCCCTCACTTCGCTGCTCTTACATTACAGCACCACCTTGTGTCAAGCACTGTGAAGAGAAGCACCGAACTATTTCAGTTACCTTAGTTGTCCAAAGCTTCACTGTCCAGTCAAAAGAAGAGGTGACAAAAAGGTGCGAGAAGTCTACAGGCCCAACTGCTGCGTGGCAGTGGATCCCTGTGATTGGTCCCTGGTGTCCTTCAAACATCTCGCTGATTCCAGCTTTGCTGTTTTAGAATATACAATTAAGGTTAATTTCTCTGAAAACCATACATCTGATTTATTTTAATGCAATCACAAAAACATTTTGCTGCTTTCTACAGATGTTACCCCATGCAAAAGGCTTTATCACAGCTGGCATGTGGAAGGCAAGGTTTGAATGTGGACCTGAACTTCAGCATCCCTTTTCTGTTATCCTCAAGTGTCAAAACACACCACAGGGAGCAGTCCCACCTAGCAGGGACATGCTTAACTACACAGTTCTTCAGGCTCAATTCATACAAACAACGGAATGCACTCCTCAGAAACGAAGAGGAAACTCCCCCAGTTTTTAACAGAAGTTCCATGAGCCTTGCTGAGACAAAGTTCAGACAGAAAGTTCAGACAGAAAACTGTAACAAGATATCCCCAACAGTCCTCTATCCGGAAGGCTGAAAAGGAAGAGGAAGGCTGGGGGGGGGGGGAAGATGAGCAAGATGTTACACAAAAATGATACAATTTTGGCTATTTTGAAACCAAAGAACTGTGCAGCAAGGTTGATGTGTATTTGAGATGAAATCTGAACGTTCAATTATATTTAAGAAAGCAATTGATAAGATACAGCCGGACAATTTCAAAATAGATTGAACAGCAGGAGAAAGGCTGGCCAATTGAGCATCTGTGCGTGATGTTACTGTACAATTATTACAGCCCTGATACCAAGTTTGGAATGTTCTGCTACAATTCAAATGAATAAAACCTAAGCGAGCTGAGGTTGGCCTCATCACTGCAAACAATTCTTAGCAGCATAGCCAGCATAGGAGCAACTCAATATTCTAACTCTTTCTGGTTTAAATGAAACTATTGCTCAGGGTACTGGAGTTTACACACAGTTATTTTCAACTGCTTCAAGACCACAGCCTAATCGTGCACTATGAATACACTAGGCAGTGTACAGCACACAGGGACTCATCCCTTCACTATTTTTATCCCTTGGAGAAATTAAGGTTTAATTCACCTGCCATGGCGGCACGCGGTGTACACGGAGCCCTCCTCGCTGCCAACAACAAAGTTGTTGACGTCTCCAACAGGGAAGGACATGCACGTAACCGCCACAGCCTTGGACTGCTTGTGAACAAGCTCCATGCTATCCTGCAGCGATAACAGTACAAATTTTTAAAAAGATAAGTTTCTAATATTAACATTTACACCAAGTCATTTAGAATTTACTTGTCTAGAGTTTGGCAGGAATAAGAAAGTTCTTTCTTCCTTTGGGGGCAAACACAATTTTAAGAAAATTAACAAAACATATAAAAGGATTGCCAGAGAGTAATGGATTACGCAGGAAGAAAAAATATTTTATAACCTGGTCATAAAGCTACTGTAACTGTATACTCCATGTATTGTGAAGATGTAAAACAATCTAAACAGCATGAATAAATAAAATCCTTATCTGGAATGCATATTACATATACGCAAGATTATACCTGTGGCTGGGAAAGCATGTCCAGACTCCAAGAGCATATCTTCCCATCAGTTGAGATACTAATCAGATTATGAGCATTCTGGGTCCCAACGACATTTACGCAGTATACAGGGTGCTGAGAAATACAAAATATTATCAGAAAAAGAAATTTCCAAGCAATAAATTCTGGTATAGTTAATATATTGTAAAATATACAATGTTTCCTAAGGCATGAAAGATCAATCACAGTACAGTATGAAGAATCCTCCCCTACAAAACTGATGCTTGTCTCATTTAAAAACTGGTTCCTCAGCAATAGCATTGGAAAAATATGGACATAAACATTTAAGCACCATCAATCAAGTGCACTGGACAGGGTTTCCTAGAGGTTAAATACATCTCAACAGGGAAAACAGTTCTTGCAGATATTTCACCCCCTACCGTGTGAGCAGCAGCTGAAAGCGGAGTTCTCTGCACTGGGGTTCTCTTATTGCTGCGATTATCCCATAGCACAATCTGGCCCGAGTACGTGCCACCAACCACCAGGTTAGGATGAAATTTTGCAAATGTGGCTGACATCACTGCTGACTGAAAGGGAAAAGAAAAACCTTTATCATTCAGCAATGCTATGTTTCGAACTAAAGAAAACATGACTGATTTTAAGTTTTCTGCTTAGATTTATTCAATATGGTATTTCACTATCCAGTTACACAAGGATTCACAAACCCTTGAAATGAAACCCCAGCAGTTTTAGTTTCAACTTGTATTGATAAATAAAGTTGGGGGAAATAAAGTTTCCCTTTCTACTTCCGTACATATAAATAAAGATACAGAGAAGTGTATATACACACACGCACATATACATTTATTGCTGCTAGCACAGTGCACTAGCACAAGAAGATCCACCAATTTTAATAATGTTTTGCTACATTCTGAGGTCATTACTTAGGGAATCTGACAACACCACACTAATTTTGACTGAACTATGCAATTTCCCAGATATTATTTTCATAATAACAGTCATAATTCTACCCCAGGCTTGGTGCAGCAGGAAAGATTTGCATCACTATCTTCACAAGACCTCCATCCTCCATCCACCCGTTTCATTTGAACAATATGTTCCTAGTTTTCATCTCCTCAGGCCACCTTCAATTCATTCTGTAAACTAACTTCAAGCAGTATACAGTTTCCATCAGTCCCTTCACATAAAAACCCTCTTTGTGGGTCCACTATTATAGAGGAGTGTTTCTGTTGAAGTCTCCAGCTATCAACATCTGTTTGCAAAATACACGTGGTTAAAATGAACGCCAGCCCAAAGAAATCGTTATGCTGACAACTATAACGAAGGCACTTGTCCAACTTCATCAACATAAAACCTTTAGCATGCAGAGACTGAAATAAATGTTCCATACCTGGCAGTGAAAGACATACTCTGGGGTAGTTTTCTTGTACTTCATGTTCCATACAAGGGCTACGCCATCAGGCTCATGAGGCGCATCTTCGTTGTTGTTGTAGGAGGCTACAAGTAATTCTGGGTACTGAAAAATAAGTGAAAAGGTTCAAAACAAGTACGATGAGCAGCGAACAGTCTAGACAATCCCAGAACCTAACTGATATAAAACTTAGCTTGTAAAACATGATTAACTTATATGCCACCTTTTGTTCTATTTGTCCTAGTAACTTGTTTGTAAATGTAAAGGCCACTACATTTAAGTGTGTTTTGTATTTTAAAGCTAGTAACTACAATATAACCCATAAACAGTAACAAATACGCTAAAGACTTTTTCTGAATATTACAGGGATTTGCTATTTTTTCAGAAGATTAATGGTTCTATTTAAGAACCACAGAGCATGTAAGACCTATTCTATGTAACACTTAGCAATCAATAGTATCTACAGAATTACCTAAGCAGAACTAGAAAAATTTACAGAGACGACTAGTTCATGTAGCACAAGCATTGTTTACCTGAGATGACCAGTCCAAACAACTGACAACGCGATGCTTCGACCAACGTTCATCAAAAAACTGCCTATTTAAGGACAGTTTTGCTCCTGCTTGAATCTCTCTGTAAAGCAGGTAGAAAATATTAATCTTAGATCACCTTTCAGTTACAAGTTTTGCACGTTCTCAGAAAAGCAATCAGTGCTTCCACGTTACCCTTCTTTGTCTTCTAAGTCTCTTCCACTATAGTCAAAGAAAATGTTAATCTGCTCAGAAAGGGCTCTTTCAACAATCCTTGTGGAGTGGTCGAAGAAACTTAAGAATTCTTCAGAATGCAAAATTTGTTGTTTTTCCTCTTCTGTAAGTTCATGAGGGGCAACTGCAAGACAGTTACATATAGATTTTCTATAACACATTCTCACAAGCCGTTTGTGAAAAGTCAGTCAAATTAATGTCAATTTAATTGAAAGAAAAGTTAAAAATTGCTATATGCCTTTCTTCACAGCACAGTAAGAATGTTCTGAATTGAACTGTACCTTCCTCCTCCTCCTCTTTTTTTAATGTTTTTTCTTCCTCAGGTTCAATTGCTGGCTTTGGAACAACCACATCATCTTCATCTTCCTCATCTAAGGAGAAACAGGACAGTCAGGCTGTCAAAAGTTTTTATTTATTTATTTATTTATTTTTTAAGAGGAACAGTGACATTTTATATGAAACTCAAGTAAGTTGATATAAACATGTATCATTTATCTTAAGATGACTGTACTTGTTAAAACTTGGTCTCCAAGAAGACTAACATTGTCTTGAACCAACAAATCTTCAGGACAATATACCTGAATTTAGCACTCGCACTAAACTGTGTAGCTGTATAAACTGAAATAAAGCATATGGGAAACTGTAAAGAAGTCAAAGCGGAAATCTTCCTTAGAAGCATTAATAATTCCACAAAAAAAAAAAAAAAACATGCAGTCGATGCATGTTCTGTGTAACATTCTGACACATTAATGCTGTAGAATAAAGAAAAATCAAATGTCTAAAATAGTCTACAGAGCAGCTGCTTACTTGTGATCCGAAACCATCAGAGTCTAATGGGTCTTCATATGGCATGAAGATGGCTTACATTAGCTTTCAGGTTGCTATTCTGTGGCAAATTTTGCTAAAGATAATAGCAGGCAAATTACATTTTTTCTGTCATTCTAAATGCAAGTCTCATTATCTGTATCATGTTTGGCAAAGAGAACTTTACAGCAAAATGTGTTTTCCCTAATTACAAAGAATAACATAAAATGTTAATGTTCAGGAATACTGACAAGGCTTACTGCACTTTTCCTATTTCTACATTTTACTCCTTCAACACTGCGAACCAGAAAATAACTTTAAATTACTTTGTGTTGTGTAATATGCATTCCCTGGCTTTTCTTCATCTGCTTTCTGGAAGAAGCCTCTGAAAATACTGTTTTTATTGGCTAAACAGCTCTGTCACCTGTCTGCAAGGGGCCTGCGCCTGCTGCAGCCTCATCTATTCAGCGGGGAGCAGGCGCCTGGGACAGCCTTCTCCCTGAGCCACCTTCAGAGTTACCTAAGGGCAACCCAAACGCTCCCCCCGCGCAGAAAGAGGGTGGCCAGGACGGGAAGCAGCTGCCCAGCCCCGGTCCCAGCAGCCAGGCCAGCTGAGCGGCCGCGCGAGCAGATGGCGGCGCTGGGAGCGCGTCGCGGAGAGGTGGCCGCGGGCCGGCTCCCGGCTCCGCGTTTTTCTGCCTCGCTGCTTCCAATCACGGCTCTCCCCAAAGGCAGCTCTGCGCAATTACCCGCACGCCAGGAGGTCCCCGCGCAGGCCCCGGCCCTGCAAACAAAATACAGCTTGTAGGCCGTGCCAGCTGCCAAACCACACACATAGTGATGGGCTTAAAGAGGGCTGAAAATCTTCCTAACTCCGTAGTGTAGGCAATAAAAATATAACTGTACCTGCAGGAAAGAAAGCTTTAAATGACACTGTATAATGCACACAATAATACAAACTCCAACTTAATCAAAATGATAATGACGTATGCCAATCCTACATTACTTGAAATTGAGCGATTTTTACGTTCTGACAAGTTTACAGAACTAGGATAAATGGCATGAATGATTTCAATATATGCTCATACTTTTGAACCAAATGGTGAAGGTTAAAATCTTTCCTTTCAAGGGCCTCAATCAGCCACAAAGGAAAACAGTAATCACTGTCTTTTCAGCCAGCCCAACCGCATTTGTCAGCCCTTTCTCCGTCAATGCAGCCAGAGCAATCAACCTGCCAAACATTCAGAATGGAAAAACAATCTGAAAATACAGGGTATAATGCACCTGCCAGTGAAAATGGCCATTTCAAGAAAAGCTAGTGATCTCAGTGACCCTGCTGAGGAGGCGGTGGTGCAAAGGGGAAAGAACGCGTAAAAGAATTCTTAGCGATCTGCACTCTCTTGCACACTGACACTTCCTTACAAAGCATGCCAATTACAGCTTTTGTGCTACTTAAAAAAAAAAAAAAAAAAAAAAAAAAAAGCTTTTTTGGGCAAAATAATCACGCAGAGAAACAGAAAGACACTGTTCCTTTTTAGATGGATTCATGTGTACAGTGGACCAGTAACCTGAAAAATGCAACTTGTAGCCATTCTCAAGCCACTGAAATCCTAATGGCAAATCACTATAGGTGTGAACATTGATAAATTAAAAAAAAGTAATACGAGTTAACAGGCAGGATTTGGGCACAACAAATTACAAAAGAACATATGCACGCGACAGCCGCTTGGATAAAACCCCCCTCTTGCTCCATCTCTCTCTCCCACCCAATCACCCAAGCAGATGTAAACAATTCCCGAAACAGAGAAGTTGGGTTTTGAGTCATCCCAAATCCATTGTCCTAGCTCTGAATGCCCCCAAATCAGAAATTTCAGCTTCCCACCCCCAAGTTAGCCATACTACACTGATTCTAAGCACCATTTTCAGTGACAGGAGTCAAACTCGTCAGATGCAGATGGTCAACCCTTTGGCGCTAAGTGACCTTCTAATCTACATATTTTATTCAAAATATCATATAGTTGATTGCTTCTGTTTTTTCATGTTTGAGACATAAATGGCATATATTATACAGAGATATAGATTCCTTCATAGTACTTTCCCTGCATGCGGCCAACTGATATTAGTGTATTTACAGGAAGGACAGAGCATTTAGTTTAATTTCCTCCAAGTATCCAACATGAAACTGAACTTGTCATCTCACTACAATTTATCTGTACCTATGTAAATCTAAAACCTTTTCTCTAAGGTAAGCACAGGCGTAAGCAAAACTGACTTTCTCATTAAGAAATCTGAAGGAAAAATTAAAAAATAATAGCTGGAAAAGCACACGAATTTTTGATATCACTATCTCAGATTGCTTTCTCAGAGAACTTTACAATCTAAGAAGACAGCAAGAAGCTGTAAGACAGTTTGGAGGTCAGATTTTTTTTTATTTTAATTACTACTACTTCTCATTTACCCTGATGTTACTTAATAACAGTTCAAGTGGTGGCATTTGCAGGGAGCTGTCAATAATATGCATGCAAGCAAACTGGGAGATCAGACATTTCACTTCTGAAGAGAGTTTCAAACGTGGAGTCAGAAATCCACATGATGTAGCGTTGTGCTGCACTTATTTAAAGGCAGGTATATGAAAGCTAGCTGAACTTCAAAAATCTCCAAAGCCCAGTCAGTCTCACTTCACACCCCTCCTTACTCATTATTGACTTTATCTACCGTGTTCTTGCCACTTCAACTGACAGGATACAAAATCCAATTGCTCATTTAATAGACTGCTGCTAAGACTTAGGAAAGCCTTGAAGATGGAAAACAGGACTATGTCGCATCAACATATGGATGAATATTCATTAAAGGATACTAAGTGATTAACTCCACTCTTTTTTTATGACAGGGGAACAAGGAATCTAAGGTTATAAACTGAGCAGCAAAGACGACAAAAATAGCAGTTACTTTAGAAGTGACAAGTTTCTTGTCAATGAATGCTAAAACAGGTTTAATGAACCATTGAATTGTTACTTTGAGTTAACATCAAAATTGTGATGTATTTTGGCGAGACGGAAAGAAAAGCAGTGCTGTAAATTAGGCTGCACCCAGCAATAACACTACAGAGTGAAGTCCCAGTCGCCTGGGTAATCTGTTGCTGCAGAGTAGGTTAATCAAAGTTAAATCATCTGTGAAATGGGTGGCTTTTGTTAAGTTCAATGTGTCTTCATATCAAGTCTTCCCATCTATATTTCGCTGTACATTTAAAGCACGCACAGGAATGCACATGAATATAATGTTCCGCTATAATACTTAAAAAAAAAAAATTATGAAAACACTGTATTCATTGTAGCAGCATCCAGAGGCCCAGTCCTATACACCAAGTTGCTGTATTCTACAAACAGAAGCAAAAAGCCAAAATACGTTTAATATTTATTTTACAACACATTCTCAAAGAGTGGAGCTAGTGCCTGGAGTTAGCTGTAATTCACATATGTACTGTATTGTACAGCAGCACTGGACATAGTTATTTCATTAATGTAGGAAAAGTCTTAATTATGACAGTCTTCAGGCAAAGCTGTGTTCACCTATATGTCTATCTTTGTGTTAGCCACCTTAAAGGCTCCTAACATCTGCACTGGTGATGGTAATTTCTTCCTATGCAATTTTCAAAAATATGTTATCAAGTTACAAAGGAGGAAATCAGACAGTTCAGAAGAAAGCAGTATAGTAAGAACTGCAGATTCTTCTCCTGCAGAAAGGAAAAAATCAGCACCAATATCAGAGTACTCTGCATCAGTGGTGGCCAACATGGAGCACACAGAATATCCGGACAGATTCTGGATTTCACGCATGAACTCTGAGGTTATAATAAAACAATATATTACTGCTTAAACAAAATTATGCAAGTTGTGAGAACTGTTAGCACACTAAATGCCTACAGCAACATGGTGGTGTCACTTTTCAAAATCAGGAGCTGGGCATCGTATGAGAGAGAGACAAGGCCACCTAGTATTTTCACTACAGGTGTTTCAAGGGGAAAGAAAAGAAGAAAAGTGAAAAGAAGTCATAATTCTTGTGACCGCACTTTTAGGTCACAGCAAAAGGAAGCTGACAGTGCCAACAACACTGAAGTACTCTTAATTCTGCTCTCAGGCTGCATGCAAACTGGCCCTACTCTCTTGTCTTTGGACCAGGGACAAGCACAGGTCCAAAACAGCTGCACCCAAGAAGCCTCTGGTCTTCACTGAAGTTTCCTCATATTTGGTATTGTCTAGGCTGCTGCAACACGCACAGCCATCCAAACTTAAACTTAATCCACCGACCTGCTCTCATCAAAGGCAAATGGAATTTCCTCGGTTTAGATTTCTCAACAGCTGAATGCAGCCTCTCAGTCAACCTCCACGATGACTGACCTTCACATCTTAAAAATCAGAACTCTTCAGGTAAAAGCTGCTCGTTATTTACCTGCTTGTTGTACTTAATCTGAAAGGGATAACTTTGAAAGCAAACGTCAGGTTTAGGAGGTGGATCTCCAATACATAACGGTCACATCATTGGTATTTCTGCAAAGATTTCTATGGCAAGTAGGGAACAATTTTGGTTTAAAACTAAACTTTATCATACTTCCTAGCTCTACTCCCCAAAAGATTAGTTTTATCTTGACTTTGTTTTCCAATTTTCCAATATACAGCCTTCAAATAACCTGCCTGGGCTTTCTTAAACATCGTAAAGGCAAAATACAACCCACTTATTCGTGAGCTCTCAGCTCCTTAAGCAACTCAATGTGTCTAATCTGCATGTTTACTATGGGTAAAAAAACACAAGTATTGCTAAAAGAATGTTAAACAAGATGCAGAATGACAATAACATTCTTGAGCAAAAGCTATATGAACTTAATGACAGATTTTGTATCAGTCATCTCTCAAATGAACCTTCATTCTATCTTATTAAATTTTAAAACCATAAAGTGTTGGTTCCAATTCACACAGTCAATATTACTGTAGTTGAAGGAAGAACTTCAGTAATAAGTTACTCATTCACCTTCCTTTGGTTGAGTCATAACAGGTGTTTGCGTCTCCTTTGTGTAAGTAACAATTTCTCGAGGAGGAAAATCAACTTGGGTAATTTTGGCCATTCCAAGCTTAACAGGCCCACGTCTAAATAAAATGAACAGAAACATCAGAAAAAATATTTAATTTTAGAAAACATTTCATATTCAGTCTAGAACAATACATGCATCATCACATGAAACAACATAGTCTAGTAAAAATTAAATCCCATGGAAATTAACCCCTTAAAAATTCACAGGACTATTATTTCTACTTAAAGTCAGTAGCTATTTATACATTTAAGACAAAAAGAGACATGCAAATGCATACAAACATCTGGAATATAAGCAGCATTCTAAAGTTTTACTCCTTTGCTGTTGACCAGGGTACTGCTGCATACAGTGGCTATGAAACACCCTGTTTTCAGTGGAAGACACCTGCTCACACAAGTCACATTTGCAAGGTTAGGGTTCTAAGATTTCAACGTCTGAAAAACAGCTTAATTATTGTGAATGAAACAGCATTTCCTAGCCCATTTAACTGTGCTGCCCATCTTTTTATCTACCTCTAAGGTGCTATTTAGAACTCAGAACTACTGCGAGTCTCATCTGAAGTCGACACATGAAGTCAGTTATCGACGGTGCACAACCCCAGAGCATGACACTGGAAAACTCAATGCTTTCATTCTCCCCTGCCTTATGAAATATGATCTTATAAATGCAGATAGAGGCAGCACCACCTAACTACAGTACATGATGTACTTCCAAAAAACACATCATATTAATCAGAACCACCTCAGTCACTGGGATTTCCTATAAAAGGTAATTCCAGTAGGTATTGTGGCCAATACAGTACCTATTGAACAATTACAAGCAATTTATCTATATAACATCTAGTTTCTCATTATCTACACTTCACCTAGCGTAAGAGGAAGGAAAAAAGGGGAAAGTCTTTTTTTAAAAGACTTTGGTGGGCTGAATCATAGCTATAATAGCATGTTACGGTTTTTAGCAAGACTTAATAACAATTTTTATAAGCATACTTGAAATATTAATGAGTATGTTATATTAAAGGACAGGAACCATTCTGTCTGTTTCAAACAAATAGTTCTTCTAAGCTTTATATGTTAAATTATTTTTAAAGTTTATCTGTCAATGAAAAACATTAACCATTGAGTTTTGTTATTAAAAATAAGCAGTTTTACATGTATTTAATAAAATTTCCTATTATGGACCAACAGCACTAAGTCTTGGGACACTGTGAACCTTCATTAGTCACAGAATATTCTCTTAGCAATTACTTGAAGTCTTAAGAAAAATAAACTCTAATACTCATTGCTTATCAATATATTTAAGAGGGAATATAATAAATCCATGCAATACCCCAGATCGGAATCAGAGTGGAGCTGAAGAACTGATGGATCAGTATCCCAATGCAGCGTCCTGATACCACAAGTTGAACAACCATGCAGCATTAGCAAAAAAGGCCAGAGATTAGTGAAGCAAATACACACTACGGAACACTAGAGTTATAGTAAGCTTACAGTTATTTCATACTTTACAAAAAACCCAAAGCAACGTAACACCAGTTAAGGGAAATTCACCAAAAAGTCAGTGCAGTAATACATGCAGCAAATACAAGAGTTAAAAAACATGAAATACAGAACAATTAGAAAAGAATTAAATTATTTTAAGGATTGAAAGTTAAAGATTTGCCAACAAACACAGCCCTTACGAGAGGAAAATACAAATATTTTAGTTAATGACAGGAACTACTACAGACTTTAAGCTCTTTATTTAAGTCTATACAGATCTGGTCAAGTCATATGAAGACAGCTTTGTTAACATTACGCAGTCTTGCCCAGAGCATTAAATATGTGGAGGAAATTGTCATATTGGTAAAGGAAATGAGTCAACACATAAACCTTTTGGTATTGAAGCAAAAACACATTTCCACTGGGACACAGAACTGCTAGAATTTCCGAGATGTGACACTGCAGTAATTATGGGTTAAGCACTGCCTTGGGCTTTTAAGTGTCATCTGATTTAGAGACAACTCTGTTTAAGGTACTCAAATCTCTTAGATATAGTGGGCTTAATATTAATAACACATTTCAAACTACTGTGATATCTCATTGCAGTGACAAACATAAGGCATCCACTGTAAGTCACTTCTATATCAAAAGACACATGAAGTTAAGCCTAAATCTACTCTTTCTTCCTTCATTCTGAGCCTTCACTACAAAGTTTCCTTTAGTGCTACTGCCTACTATGACACTTAGGGGGAGTTGAGTTTTAAAGCCTTTTTTTTTTAAAAAAAAAAAAAAAAGTTTAACACAGATATATAGGAAAAAATCAACAAGCAAACATATTTTTGTCTCATGTTGAAAATCATGATTTAAAAAGTATATTAGCATGTAAAACAAATTGAAAAATAAAGAATATACAATATCTTATGGTAAGACGACAAGAAAAGGCATATATTCCCTTCTATCATTTTAAGAATTCTAATGCGCAGAGTTCCTAAAGGTAACGCTGATCTCAAAAGTTTACAGGCAATGCCATAAAAACTCACTTGTACTCATGAATTATCCTGTTCTTGTCTGCACTGTCTACAATAACCAAATTGCAAAACTCTCCCTATCTTGTGTGTGCCAGGAAATAGACTGTCTTGTCATAAACCTAATTATTTTAAGCACTTTTTTTTTTTTTTTTTAAGGTTTCTGCTATTTTTCTTGGAGAAATAAACTTGAGCTTGGAGTTCAAACTGTTTACTGAGACTTCAGGTTGAGTATTGCTTGTACTGAGATTCAATACTGTTTCTCACACAAAACACTCCCCCTTCCTCCCCATACCAAGAGCCTTCACATTGCTTCTGCAAATGAAGATTTCTCATCTTCAGACAGCACTATGCTACATTACCACAACACTTGTCAACCATTTTTCTAACTTTTTCAATCACACTTGGGAGGGCTATAAATTAAAAGGCTCCAAGTTGTGTGTCCGGTATAAGATCTAGATCTGCCTGAGGTTGTTCTCCTGTTTTCAAATAGTTCTTTTAACTTTCAACAGTTTCTTCAGCGGTATGAAAAACATGCTATATTAATCTTCAGCCTCCAGTTCTTACTCTTGACTGAGAAGAGAAGAAACAGTAAGAATGCAAAGGAACAGTATCATACTGGAAGACAAAACTGCTCACTGATGAAAATAAAGCAAGACAGCTGTAGGTAACAACAGAAGCAGAGTCTGAACATTGGTTTACTAATTACTAAATAAGTTAAGCTACTAAGAAAAAAAAAGATTAAACTAATAAAGGAGGTCATCTCTGTAACGCACAGTTCCAGCATGAACTATAGAGTGGCCACTGTAGTGTGATACCAAAGAACTGAAATAGAGTGATATAAAAGGGCAATACTGGAACAACTTGAACTTGCTAATGTTACCCATACTGACACAGAGCTCATACTGAGCTGCCAAGTATAACACTATAGAATTATTACACGGTACAACTTTTCCATCAATTTTCAGCTTCAAGTGGTTGTGTACATTAGGCATGCACATTTTTACTAACATAGGAGGACACAAACATCTGCTTACCATGGAAGGGAAGGACTTTATCCATTGGTCAGAGAATAAATAAGGAGAGTCTTGCTATCAGCAACATTATGTTGCCTTAAATCTAGCTATATGGTTATACCTGTTCTGCATTTTTAGGGCAGCTTTGTTTTTTAGGGGGGAAAAAAAAGTCTCCACGTCTTGGAAATTATCCATACCACCTATATTTAGTTCTAAGTCTTGCAAATGGCTGAAGCTATAGGAGTATAAAATATAGGCCTTCTCAAATCTTCATGGAAACAAATGTAGACAGAACAGCATTACGTTACTACGCATGTGAAACGTACAACCAGCGAATGCTCACGAGGGGGAGATAAATTCAGTACTTGGCATCAATGTGGAGTCTGACTACACAGGTATGTGACCTACGCATATTATCATATGGAAGTTATATATGAAAAGAAAAATCCTATTTATTTCTTGCTTTTACTCCTAGACAGTGAATTTAAACATAAAATGGCAATTTATTTGAGATTACTATTTAATTTTTCGTTACTGAATAGAAGAATAATGATATCAGTTCTTTACTTATGTGACAAATGAACTTCAACTGCACAGTGAAAAACTATATCCTCCAAACAGCGGTGTCAAAAAGAGTTTGTGTTTGCTGCCTGTCGTATTTTCCTGGTTCTAATTTCATGGCTGCTACTTGGAAACAAACAACTTGCAACTTTTGCTTAGACTTTTTTTGTTAAAATCTAGAATAATTGTAGACTGTGCAATTCATGTATAATGCATATATATATACACGTTACTCAACTTTTTTAAAAGACACGTGAAAGTGGTATACATATTTACTTTCTTCAACATGACGACTCATACAGGAACAAAAGAGAGAGAATATCTGTGCTTTAACCAGACTTCATCCATGAAGCATCTACAGTAAGTTTAAAGCATGAGTAATTAATGGCTGTGAAAACATAATTTATCAATGTTAACAGACAATTTGTTTACAGATTGTGCATGGGACATGACCAATGATGGAAACTCCCTTTGGAGGCAATGTTTCCCATCTTAGAACCCATAGATTTCCACTTTAAATTCCTGCTTTAACACAAATATTTAGCTGTCTTTAAAGCTGTAATTCTCAAACCATCATGCACACACACACACAAAAAAAAAAAGGCTCACAGGAACATAGCAAGTACCGGAGCTATTAGAAGAAGGAAAAATAGAAAGGAAGAAGGAAAAACAGAGAAAAATCCCGCAGCTGTACCAACATGCTGCTAGGTTTGTAGACGATATCACTACTACATGGAAAAAAGAAATAGTTAGTGATCCATATATACCCTCCTTTAAAAAGCTGGGAAAAGCCCCAAAGTGTTATTTTTCCAGTTGTTCTATTGTCCTTACACATTCATGTTTACAAAAACATTACCACAAGACATTCAGATTCATTTTACTTTAAACTTGCAAGTTTAAACAATCCTGTGTTAATGCTAGCAATTTCAAATTAGTAAATATAGCTGTATTTCAAATTAGAAAGCAAAGTGTTTGGATAAAATGATCACTGCTCACAGATTAATATTACTCTAACCTCACAGTTAAGTCATGATTGGTTCTTGTTTTAAGTCATGATCTTATAAAGTTTTTTTTTTTCCTTTTGATCTTATAAAGTTTTGCTCATTCAGAATACAAGTGTTAAACAAAGGAATAAGTCAAAGACAGTGACATACCTAGATCCAACAGCGCCATCCCCAGAGTCCTGGCTTCCAGCTTCGCTTGGCGTACTCACGGATTTGGAAGACGGAGAGGTAGGAGGAGGGACTAGATAGTGAAACAGACAGGTATCCGCTGTTACTACTCGGAGAGGTTGCACAGCTTAGGATGTTTCCAAATTAATTTAAAATGAAGTATTAAAAAAAAAAATCAATGGCAAACAAAAAAATACATGGATGAAAATGAACAGTAGAAAGAGAGGGGAAAAGACAATGTTAACATTTCATGCTGGATGTTCATGCAATTGCTTGGCATTTAGGCATCTAGGGCGTACAAAAAAAAAAGACATGGAAAGACATTTAAAAAAAATGACTTGGAAAATATATTTGAAAAACTGAATTTCTCACAAATGGTGGCACCAACTTGCAAAAGAATTTTCACTAAATCATGTTGCTTAGAGAAATATAACTGTTCAACACGAGTTATCTTAAAAATATTTAACGGCTGATTTTGTTGCAAAACACAATCTCTGAAGTGTGAACCAAAAAAAGTGATTTTGGAGCATGCTACTATATTTGCCTTAGTTTGAGCCAAACATAAATCTTGTCTCATCTATCCAAAGCATCTGGTATTGAGCTTTGTTTTTCTTTTTACTAGACAAGCTGTCTACTACTATCTACTACTACTGTCTACTATCTAGTACTGCTATATGCAAATACAGCTTAAAAAGCAACATGTTTTTTGGAATTGACACAATACAAGGAATGAGATCATGCCATTTGAACACAGAACTATTCCAATATTTCTTTCAAATTTTCTTTCTTTTTTTTTTTTTTTTAAAAAAAAAAACAAAGGTAACAAATTTAGGCTTAAGAATCAGGATGCGCCTCAAAGTTTGTCATATTTGTTTCACTTTTCAGTAACAGGTAAAACATTCAGCCAACCCATTCACTCTTTAATTGAACAATGTGAGATTAGGAACTTATTTTGTCACCATTTAAAAAAAGTCACTTTATCTAGAAATAATGGCAAAAAATCAAACTAGAAATAAACCTGTAATAATATACATGGTCAAGACATAAATAATAAATTAGGGCATTAGAGATAAATATTTTTGAATCTGGCTTTGTGATGGTACTATCCTTTAATCCCACCCATTCTAAATATTTAGCAAAATGTGAAAGCAATTAACAACCTCTGAGGGTTTTTAAGGCCTCTAAAGTACCCGTCAGCGGGTCTAAAATATAAGCATAGCAATCAAAAACTTAATTACATTGCATCATAAATATAAGAGAATAAATAAATGAAATCAAGGCTATTTTAGTTTTGTATAACTCCAGAAAAGAATGACACTATGCAAATGCAAGATATCCCTGTAACGCACACAAGAGTTACAGCAGTTTTAAAATGAAAAAGCCCATACAAATGAATTCAATCTTTGCAGATTTTTAAGAGCAACATTAACAACAAAACATTCCTAATTCTCAAATTTCTTCCTACAAAACACCAAGTTTTCCCACATAAAACTGCTGGTCAAACTCCCTTGAGCTTTCCATTATAAAAAAATAGTGTAACAGAAAAAATACTGTAACAAAAAGAACAACGTGAAAGACAATGAAGGTAAAACAAAACACACACAGACACAAACAGAATAAGCTTTACTGCCACCCAAAACTTCATGGAAGACAATTAAACACAAGCTCAGTTTCTTTAGCAAAAACTCCTCAAGCTTTCTACAACATTTTACTCAAAGCAAATCATTAAACTATAACAACTTTATCTATTTCCACACTCTTCGGTTAGCAACTTAATAAGTTAATCTAATAATTTAAAAAAAAAAGATCATGGGCACTAAGGAATACACTGCTTCAAGAGCCGAGGTAGAATTCATGTCCAGTTAAGTGGCTTAGTATTTGATGCTACATTGCCCTCTTGTGGAGGGAGCTGTTTTTAAGGAATTTTTCCCATTAGCACAGTGATACCTTTTTAATGCTTAAGTCTTAAGAAAAGATAAAGCATAATTCTACCTACCGCAATAGAGGATGAAATTATACTGAATTCTCAGAAGTTATTTTGTCTCACTAACTTATACCTTTTTAATATAAAAAGGTATCAAAAATACACACTCTTCCTACTACTCTGACTATACTTAATAGTACTACACTGCCATCTTCTATAAGAAAGGCACCTTTCTTTGGCACTCTACTTGGATATATTTTGTCGGGATGCAGACAGCAGACCAAGCTTGCACCTCAGCACTTGCTCCTGAGGAAGCAGGTAGGACATTTTAGCTTAGTTTGAGATCTGGATCAGGTCTGGGTACCCTGCACTGTAACAGAAGGAGCTGAGAATCCGTGTGCACAGCCAGGTGTGGTTAAGGAGCAGCTCCCTGGAACAAAATGAACTGCTTCAGCTGCTCTAATGGAAAGTGCTTTAATGGTATTATTCCAGGCTCAGCTTTTAAACACTTCAGGGCTGTCCAAAAGCAATTATAAAGACGCAGACCTTGCCAATAAGAAATGATTCTCTTCCTGTTATTTGCCAGCACAGTTGAAATAAATCCTCATCATCATTACATCACTCTGAAAAGTAAGTTTTAACACTTGCTTGAATTTCAAACCTGGAGGAAAATAAAGTATTGCCCTCTCTGCAATTTTCCACAGAGACGCAGTTAAATAAAGGCAAAGAACAACAACCGATATACTATACCAATACACCCACCCAGAAACAACAAAGACATGAATTACCTTCCTACACAGTTAAGTTTTATATTTAGCCTTACTATTACTTCAAAGTCCATCATGTACTTGAGATGAGGAGTATTAGGGAGTAAATATGCAGAAATGACACAAGTCAATTCGACATGAAAATACAAGAATTTAGATGTGACATTATGAAACAGAGAGGAAATACAGAAGGATAATAAAGAGGGAAAATAGGTTTAAAAATACATCATATTTGTCTATTTCAAATAAACATGCTAAACCATCTATTAAGTACAAAACATATCTTTTACAAGTATTATGCTGAGATTTTACTGAGACACGTCATTGAATATTACAACAGAGACAACCATGCAGGACAAAGTAGTACAAAAAGCAGACAAGCATACCCAAAAAATAGCAGCCAGGGAATTTAAGATACTTATATAAATATCACAGTCCTAACAAGCAAATAGGGAGGGAAAATGTCTATTTTATAAATTAATGCTACTATTCTTACCAATAGGAGAGTCAGGTGTTAACCCCATACTCTGAAGTAATGCTTCAGCTTCTCTCCTCTTCTTTTCAAGATCAGATTCTTCTTGTACAGGAAGAGCTTCTTTCTTCTGATCAGTCTGAAATAAATAAATAAATTAGGGCATTTACATGGTATTAAGAACTGTTTACTTTCATTTCTGACACGTCAATAGGTTTTCTGTGCTATTGAAACATTTTAGACAATTAGCATACAGATTAGATAATTAAGTCTAGTAATTCTGATGATCCTTTCTGTAGATAAGGTAAACAATGGCCAGGAATCACTAAATTTGGAAGCTTTTGTACTGTCTTCAATAACAATGGCATGTACAACGTGCAAAAATGTCTTCCCATTTGTCGAAATGACTGACATAAAATCAAGAACACTTTTTTATTTTTCCCCCCCTATATTAATGCTAGCCACTGTAAAAATATTAAGATGCTAGGCTGGATATAGTTTAGTAATTAAGAATAAATATATATACGAATAGGGATGATTATCATCTCTGATCATTTTAGCTATTTTTTTCCAAACAAAAACACCAAAGGGCTGGGAGAAAGCTTTCTTCAGACCCTCAGGATTCACAAACAAATATAAGACCTTAAAAGAAAAAACCCTGAAACTATGCAGTAACTGCTTAACATCCAAAAGTTTGAAATGAATTTAATGATTTTAAGTTGTTTTATTTTTTGCTAAATTTCACACAACAAAAGAGCAAAGTCACATTCCCATCCTCTTTGAAAGATGTTGAGCGCTTCTCCACATTTTTCACACCTATTCCAATTTCAGAAATATAATTAATAATTTAAGGTATTCCCTTAAGCTCAAATCACTGTCAAGTGAACATTTGTGTAAATGTAAATTAATTATATAAATACAAGGCTTTAAAAGAAGCAGCAAAAACTAGACCAGTCTATTCTATAACAATGTCACAATTATAGACCGATTACTCTTTGTATGACCGCATGTTATGCTTCTAGTCTACTGTACAAATCCTTAAAAACAGAAACAAACAGACAAACACTTCCAGACTCTGAAGCAAGTTACCAACTGATTAGGCATTGTATCGCACGTGGAACCTCAAATACAGACAATATGTTGTTCATAAGATATTTCCCTCGCCTTTCTCTCTGTGTCATGTTGCTGGCAGCTGCCCAGTCTTGAGTCACATGCTAAATCAGGAGTCCTACAAGATCATATTCAAAATATAAGAATGTCAAGGAAAATGCCGAACAGACAAAATGCTTCGGCAGCTTTTATTTATGATATGTAGTCTGCTTTCAGCAGAGAAGTGGCTAGACAACTCTGACATATGTAACCAAGGAAAAAAAAATCCAGAAGACTGTAAACAAACTGACTTAATACATATTTAGCATGTATTGCAAGTGCTGCTCCAATTTTAAAATTCAGGTTAAAGAACAGAAAATAAAGTTAGCAGTGTAACAGACACTTAGACTTTTAACAGGGGCATCCCGAGAACCACATTTCAGAAACGTGTTCTCTAAATAATACTATCACAAAGGACAGCTTTTGGGTAGTACTACGGTTGCTTCTCCTAGTGGTTTGATTAACGATGTACCATGCACACATGTATAAATATTGGATTTAGGAAAACACAAGAGTGGATTTTCTTTTGGTTTGTTTATTTTACTATAGCTTACTGTATTCATAACTCTTTTCTTTAGAGACATTTGTTCTTCAATGGAAGCTGCTATATTTCTACCAGCAACAGACCATTAAATAGACTCTCCTTAAATAACATGTAACAAATGACTTTAAGTAAACCTACCTTTAAATTTTAGACAAGTAACATATGAAAATGAGCAAATTTCAAGCAAAAAAATCTTACTTCTTTTTTCTTTCTTTCTTCCTCCTTTCTTTTTTTCTCCTCCCTGATTTGAGCCAATCGCTGCTTCTTGCGCTCCAACTCCGCCTTCAGCTCACTTTTGTCAGACATGATTGAAACACTGATCAAACCAGAAAACATTGCATGGTTATTTGCATTTTTTAAATATAGTAACTTTTCTTTAAGTAAGCAGTCATTAGTGCATGTGTACTAGTGTACAAAACCTAGAACAGTGAAAACTCTTAAAATCATAATTACAAATCAAATCCCTTTCCACATTTCCCTCACATAACACAATCTATTGAAAAGATTGCTTTAAAGCAAGGAACTGCAGTATGGTGATAGCATCCATTTCCAGTGCACTTCTGAGGCTATTTTAAAGAATAGTTTTGAGAGAAATATGTCGAGCACCAAAGATGGTGCTCTCTGATCTTGCAATAGGATTCTGCACAGCTAGAGAGCCAAGTACAAAACTGATGGACAAGGAAATGCAAGAAAAGTATTTCTGCATCATCAACATTTACTTTTCATTTTAATATCTTAAATATCAGCATGCTGTAAGTTAGTAGTATGTAGGCTATATATTCTAACACAAAGAACTGTAGGATTCAAAATATGAATTTAAGAAAAGATTTAGTAGGATTAATGGAATTTGCGAAGCACAGTAGGATCAAACATCACAGCAAAAAAAAAACCCATAGATGTTCACTTTTAAAGAGGTTTCTGTACGTTGTCAACTAAGATACTGTATTTTTATGACCAAAAAAATGCACAAAAATGTTTTTCTACATAACTAACCCCACAAAGTACAGATACAAAGTCATCAATAACAAAACTAAAAAAAAAAAGAAAAAAAAATCTATTTCACAACTTTACAAAGATTTAAAATACATGTATGAAAAACTGCATAAATGGGCCAGATGAGTAAAAAGTTAACTCTTTTGCTGCTAAGCAAATGCAAGCATCCTCAGTATAAAAGATGCAAAAGCAACTCTGCAATAACTGAGAGATCTACAGATGCTTTTACAACAAGCTTACGAACGAGGACATCAATTGTTAGTAATACGCTATTTGCTGCATGAAAATTTACACCTGCATATACTTGCCAAGAACTGAAAAGGAAAGCAAATTCAAAGTGTAGCAAGCCCCGCAAGCTACCCCCCTATATGTATCGGGACGCTTTTCATCTATTTTGACTTACATTTAGGTACTACTAATTCAAAATTTAAAACCCGCTGCCGGCGCTCCGGCATTTTATGGCCGCTTTTCTGCTCGGCCCCGCGCGGCCCCAGGACCGCTGCTGTCACGCAAGATGGAGTTCCTACCGGCCCAGG